CCCCCGCTCCCCCCCAGTGGGACCCCCCCGCAGCAATCCTGGCTTTATGCCTGTCAGGACCGCTTCGTCGAGGGCTTCCTCGACTGAAGCACGACCCTCAGATCGGGCCTCGCCTTAGAAGCCCCCGACTTAGAGCGCCACCAGCCTCAGTCCCGCTACGGGGGAGCGCGAGAAGCAACGCTCTGTTTTTGGGCCTCCCTATATGAGGAGCTGGTACCCGGCTGGGGCTGCTCCCGCCCACCAGCCCCCAGAGGACTGGAATGCCGCCGCCTGTTTACGGGCCTCCTGGTATCTGTCGACGACCGAATCGACGGCGTCGCCGAACAGACCAGAAGACGCAAGCGGGGCATCCATAAGGCAGACCCTGTCCTTCTCTTTCATATCGGACAGGGTCAACCACAAATGCCTCTCCGCCGCCACCAGAGCTGCCATGGACCGCCCAATAGCACGGGCAGTCCCCTTGGTGGCGCAAAGGGCTAGATCAGCGGTTCTCCTCAGTTCTAAAATGTCATCTGCTTTGACTTGCTCGCCTTCATCTAGCTCTTTTAGCAAGTCGGCCTGGTACGCCTGTAACACTGACATGGTGTGCAGACACGCACCAGCCTGACCTGCTGCCGAGTACCCCTTGCCCACCAGCGCTGAGGTGGTTCGCAGCGGCTTGGAGGGCAAGACCGGAGCCTTCAGAGACGACGCCGCACCGGGTGACAGATAGCTCGCAAGCGTCTGCTCTACCCGGGGCATCGCTCTGTACCCGCGTCCCCTCCCCCCCGCCACATTTCCATAATAATCAGAGGCAGGGACGAATAAGCGGGCCGAGAATGGTTTCTTCCACGATCTCGACACCTCGGTGTGGAGATCGGGAAAAAACGGCAGGCTCCTGCGCGGAGGTAGCGACCGGGCCATTCGATGTTCAATTTGGCAACCGCACGAGTAACTACCTCCATTAGCTCCTCATATTGTGGGGACTGAGGGGGCGAATCGTCGATGCTCTCCACATCAACCTCCTCGGAGGAAGATAGGAGAAGCACCGAGGCCGCTCTCCGGGGGGAAGAAGCCGCAGAACGGGCTTCCGATCCCAGCAAGCGGGCAGTGGATCTGGCAGGTGAGGAAGAAGATAGGGACTCGCCCGTCTCCATTCCCTCCACCAGATCCAGCTGCGAACCCCACGAGTGCAGCTGCCGCTCCGCCTC